CAATGACAGTAAGAACAATAATTATAAACTCATTAGTATTTTAATGTGATTCTCAAACTTAACTTTTAAAAATGTTTTATTAATACTGCATTATGGATAAAAGAAGATTCTCATCTATTTGATTTCCTATGCTTTTCCATTTCTCTAATTTTTATTATTTGTATGACCTGTACTCCATTTGTATGAAACTTGAGAGTCTGTATGAAATAATACAGGATTTTGGAAATTGTAACAGACTTGCCAAGACATTTGTGATTCTTCAGAAAACTATTTTTGATAAAATTGTGGAAATCAAGAGATCTCTAAATATTTCATTTTAGGGAGCATGCTGTTGAGATGATGCTTGTTTCTGACTTTTAAATATGTGACACATTTCTTGTAGCTGGCATGTAGTGGGGCCACATTTTTCATTCAGTTTGACAATCTTTGCACTTAGGTGTTTTAATACAGCTGTCCACTAATCTTACATAGTTATTTATATGGCTGTGTTTAAAGCTATCTTGTTAGCTGGAATTGTAACTTCATATTACTTACCATGAGTGAGGCCTGGGTTCCGTCCCAAGCACATGCATGTAAAGTAAGCATAATAAAATAAAAATAAGGGAAAAGCTATATATTATCCCAAACTGATTTGCCTTGCTCCACTTTATGTTCCCAAAGGTTCATTTCTTTTGTTTTTGATTTTCCTTAGGAATGAACTTAAAAGGTTCCCAGATGTCATAACAAAAGGGCAAGGTCAATGCTGAGTATATAGGTACACTTGTAGGTGAGCACTTAATTGTTTTGTATTGTTTTCTAGTAATATGACACTAGAGAATATGGAATCAGTGACTCCATGTCTTAGTTACTTTTCTTGTTTCTGGGACAAAATACTGGACACTTACAAGTTAAAGGAGGAGAGTTTAGCTCACAGTTCACAAAGGTTTCAGCCCAAAATGAGCTGGCAGTAAGTATGGCAGAGGAGCATCACAGAGAAGAAGGTCTGTGATGTGACAGGCAGCAGGCAGCAAGCAGTGAGCCCACCTTTCTATTTTATCCCATCCAGGATGCGAGCCTTTGGGTGTTGCCACCCACACCCAGGGTCGGGTTTTCATCCTCCACCTAGATCTATGCTGCATGTACCCACGACCCAGCTGACTCCCAGAGGCTCCATCTTTGAGTGCATAAGGTTTGAGGGGGACATGCTGATGCAAGCCATAACACTAAGAAACCACTCAGAAGAGTATTTTATTTATATTTTACTTGGAGAAAATAAGTCAGTCAGGGCTATGGGTGTCTCCTGGTAAACCAAGTCAGCCTAGGAACAAGAATCTAAGTGCAAACCTCCATTTTTTGAGGCCACTGGTTTCTTGTCCTCATTCAGAATGTGATATCTACAGGCTTAGGCTCAGGTTCAGGCTCTGAGTCTGGTGTCACTCAGGATGACACTGAGAAGTCCTTGAAATACCAGGTTTATTCATTCAACAAACACTACTCACACACTTGCTATCTTCTAGGCCCTATGGCTAGGGTTAGGAATATAAAAATACCACCATAGTTTATAACAATACAGTTTTTATTTCCAAGATCCAATCACTCTAGGTTTAGGGGACCCCAATTAAACTGGATATTTAATCAAAGTCCCTCTAAGAGTCCCTAAAAAATGTGAAACACTCAGTCCAAAACAGTGATTTTGGCCTTTGGTCTTTTAATAAAGACTTGAATTGTGAAATTGAAAGTAAGTATTTGCTCTCCATTTATTTGTTTTTGGCTTAAAAGACATTATTGTGCTCAGTATGGAGGTGGGTTAGTAAGTGCATTTTTAAGCATTTGTATTTCAGACTATGGAACTAATATATGGATTACAGTTCTCTGAGTGTCTACTGATCACATCCAGACGCTGTGCCCAGTTACCTGGCATCACAAAAATGTATGTGGGCTCTTCTAGGGAACAAATTGGGCTAGCAGTAGTTTAGTGCTTTATTGTATTTAGAATCCAAATTTGGTTGCGCTCTCATAGCAGAATACTAGAGACTGTGCAATTTAAGAAAGACATTTTATTCTCTAACTGTTGTAGAATTTAAGAGTGTGGAGAGACTGCAGGGGTTTCAGGAGGATTTATTAGGTATACACCTGGCCCAGGGGACTTGTGTCCAAAAGGGCTGAGCACTAAACAAAGAAAAGGCTCTAGCTTCACACATGCTATCAAGAGGGTTGGTTCAGTATCTCATGGACAAATAGAATAAAGACAGTTTGTCAAGTTGTGCCCAGTGGCTTTGGGTGGGTAAAAACAGGATGTCATGAGAGCAGGAGGCTATAAAGCTTTATTTATAGGGACTAAGTCACTTTTTTAAAAGTCACTTTTATCTGTATTAGAATAAAGACAACAGCTGTAGGGAGGGAGATATTTTGTCTTCATAATGGTTCCAGAGGTTGGAAATTCCAGGTCAAGATGCAAGCAGGGTTGGTTTCTGGCAAGGCCTGTCTTTCTGGCTTATAGACGTTTGTCTTCTTACAGTCTTGATGTCACCAATCCTATTGGATTAAGGCCCAACCTTCTGACTCATTTCATCTTAGTCTCCTTCCTATATAGGACCTGTCTCCAAACACAGGTACACTGGGGGCCAGGGCTTCAATATATAAACTGTAGATGGAGCCAGGGGTTTAGCTCAGTGGTGTAAGTGCCTGCTTGGCAAATGTGAGGTCAAGAGTTCAATCCCCTGTACCAAACAAACAAACAAAAAAACCCAAAACAGTAGATAGAATACAACTTAATCCATAACACTTAAGCATACCAGATGTGACATTACTCCCAAGGATGTATATCTGCACAGCCAAACTCTGGACCCAGGGAAACACATTTACAGTATGGTACAATAATTAGACTACCAAGCTGGGTATGGAGGGACAAAAAAAGACGATTTGCGTGGGCCAGGAACAGCTTTTCAGAGGAGAGCAGCTCTCAGGGAGGAAGGTGGAGTGTGCTGGGTGAAGGCAGAGGCATTCGAAGAGGTATGAGTGGCTCACTCATCTTTCATAGTCTCCACAGTCACAGAGCAGAACCTTTTGCAGATACAGTGCATGGGCCAAGCAGAGCCCCGAGGCTTGGAGAAAGTAGAAAGAGCACCTCAAAGCACTCAAACTGATCTCAAAGAAGGATGTAGCACCCCTGGGCTGCACTAAGGAGCTTGTACTTGATCATGTGGCAGGTACTAGACACTCTTTATATGATTTTTAGTAGCAGAAGAAGCTGAGCATTTGCACTTGGAAAGTTCCCTGGGTAATCTGGAGGAAAAGACAAGGACATTGGAGGCCTGGCTCAGGAGACAGAGCCCACAGGCCCCTGCAGCAGGGGAGGTGAATGAGGCAGCTGAGTGAGGACTGCTAGGCATCATGCCCAGTGTATAGAACTTATGAGAGAGGAGGATGATGTCGGCAGGAGGGGAACCTAGGCTGGACCCAGGTTCTGGGAAGTAACTTTGTGGAGCCATTGTCTAGAACAGGAATAGGATGTAAGAAGGAAAGAAGGAAGAATTGCAGGCAATCCTGTGGCTGAAGTTCATGCAGCTCTGCTTTCTGGGCCGGCCCATCTTCTTTCTGACTACCCTGCAGATGATGCCAGTCCTTGGTAGGTGTCCTGGACCAGGAGATGGATGGATGGTCAGGCCGGGGCTGTGGCGCAAGGCATTACGTGCATGACAGATACTTGCAGGAGAAATAATCTGCTTACAAGAATCTTTGAACGCGACCCAAGCTTTTAGTCAAAAAAGCTTCCCAACAAATAAATCCCTAGATTTATGTTGCCAGAACAATCAATAAGCTTCTGATGTGGAATCCACCCAATCTCACCGCGCCTCTGCGGCGGCGCTGTTCCAGATCCTGCTGTGTGTGACACAGGTCGATGGTCGATCTTTGGTCTGACCAGAGAAATGGCCCAGAGAACGGAGATCAGAGAGGATTTTTTAAAAGAAAGGTAAAACACACACTGTCTTCCTTGTGCGCATGCACATCCAGTTCCCTCTGAGGAAGAGAGGGTGGAACATGAGGCTCCGGACTCGGAGCCCTGGTTTGATAGCGAATCTCAAATACAACAAATTCGTTTCCTTTTCCTCCCCGACTCTTGCTGCCTTCTCAGCTTCCCGGTCTGTCAGATGCTCAGTCTTAGCCCTCTTTCGCGAGTCCCCGAAGCCAACCCAACATTGCTAAACGCCGCAGCTGCCGGCGGAACCCACTCCAGTGCGCCTGCAGCCCTGAGCTCGCACGGAGCTCTCGGGAGGGGGCGTGGTCGGCCAGGGGGCGTGACAAGCCGAGGCTCCCGGCCCCGCCCCTCGGCCCCTCCCATCCCAGCCCCACCACTTAATTCGGACGCGCGCGGCCGCGGGGTGAGAGCCGTTCTGCTCGCCGTCCGTGCCGTCGGGTCCGCCGTCCGAGCCAAGGAGCAGCCGCCGCTTCAGGTCGCCGCCGAGCCGCGGAGCGCCGGGAAGGGGCCGCGCCTTTGTACGCGCTGAGGTAGGTCGGTCGGCACGCGCTTCGCACACAAAGACGGGGGCGTGCCGCGGGCCGGGACGGCGGGGGCCGTGGGGGACCGGGGCCGGGGGCGGCGCGGAGCGGGCTGGGAACCTCGGCGCGCGGCGGCTGGGTCAGCGCGGGGTCCCGCGGCGCTCGGCTCTGCCGGCCCGGCCCGGGGCCCGGAGACCCCGCCGAGCGCTGCCCGCCGCGCCGGCTCTCGCCCTCGCCCCACCGTCCCTCGCCCTTGCAGACAAAGGCGGGGTCGGGCGCGCCGTCGCGGTCCAGTCGCCCGCGACTTCCCCTCGCCCCGCGCTCCCCTGTGTCGCGTCCGGGCCGGGGCGCCCGCACGCCGCGGGTCCGGGCGCGCCGCATCCGTGTCCTCCGCCTGGCGCGCAGTCCCGGGACAGAAGAGGAGTCCTGCTAGCGGGTGAGCACTGGCGCCTGCCGTACCCTCCTTCTTGGCGGAGATTTTTGTGATGACCGCAGAGCGGAGTTACCGGGTTCGAGTAAGTGTGATCTTGAAGGGACACGCAGGAAAGTGGCCCGAGGCCTGACGGACGCGGTGTTCTCAGTCATGGGGTTCCTGCTGACAGGTGGCTGCTCCCTGCCCCACGGTTCTGCTCTGAGCATCTCACAGCGTTGCTGTAAATTGAAACTCTGGGGTGTCGACTAGGGATTCCTTTATGCCAGTAGTTTTGTATTTAAAACTTTTAATAAGATTGCACGTATTTATTAAAACTTGTAAAAAAACACAGAAAACATTAACTGCCGTGACCACCACCAAAACCTACCGTGAGGATAAAGACATCTTTGCGTGACTTATGATTGAACAGTCCGTGTGTGTGTGTGTGTGTGTGTGAGAGAGAGAGAGAGAGAGAGAGAGAGAGAGAGAGAGAGAGAAATCCACAGAGGGGGAGAGATTGATTCTGATTCGTAACCTTGATCAGTTACATCGTTCAACAATATGACGTTTAATAATAGTTCTGCAACTATACACGTTTAGACAAACATTGTTTTGGAATTTTTTTATACCTTTGTAAATAATCACTTAACAGAGAGGAGAGGGAAGATGAAAGAAAAACTATAATTTCTACTTGGAAAAATGGGCTGACTAAAAAGTTTTGTGAACAGTATTCTTTGGATTTAAGAGTAGTTTAGAATTTACTTCATTTTTAAAAAATATTTTTCAGCTTTTAAAATATAGTGCGTAATTGTTCAGCAGTTTATGAGAAATATGTGATGGAAAGGAACTCTTTTTTGTAGAGCAAAGAATAGCATGGTTTTTACAGCTGGAAACATTGCTTCTGAAAGACTGCATTGAGAAGATAAAACAAGAAGGGCTTCCCATGCAGTGGTGAGCAGTTTCAAGTATGTGTCTTTTGTGGGGGGAAAATCATTCAGCCATGTATGAGGCCACTGGAGCTTTTGTTACATACTTTTATTTTCCTCGTTTGAAGTTTTCGGACATTTGGAGTCTTTAATGTACAAAGTTAAAATAGGCCTTTTGAGACAACCATTTAGAAGTAGGCTGATCATGAAGATGATGCAATACTTTCTGAAGTTGGAAGAATTTACAAGAAGGAAGTTGTGGCTATGTAGCATCAGGTGCATTTCTTGTTGCCGTTTCTCCTGCTTGGGGTTCCTTCCCATGCTGTTTGGGGCTCCTTAACTGCCTGCCCTCACAATGGAGTTGCTGTGTCCTTATGGCCCTTATGTGAAGGGTGGAGTATTTGTAGTGATGAGTGTTCTTGAGGGGTTCTGGTAATATTCTGCATAATAAAATTGATAGGAATGTATGTGGGAAATACCAGAATCTTCACATTTTGTTTTTCAACACTCCTTTGGCATCTTGGATGATATAAGCTGTGTAGCCAAGTGGGCCTGAGGTCACAATTTAGGAGTTTTGCTCTTTAGTTCTGTTGCTGTAAGAGGAAAGAAAAGTGTAGGGGGTAGCCCAGTGGTGGAGACTTTCTGTGGCTATGTGATTGCTAGCTTCTGACCCTGGGGAGGACTCCTGCGGTTGTTAAAAAGTAGACTTGGTTTGTGTGGGAGAGGAGTGCTAGGCAAGACCTTAATCTTGTTCCTGAACTGTGGGAGTATTGTCATTCATTCATTCCTTGTATTTGACTGTTTAAAATGTCAGAAATGAAGGTGGGAAAGGTGATTTTCTTTGAGGGGTACAGAGGTAAAGGACTTTTGTTTTTGTCACACTCATGACTAATAGTGTCTTAATGTTATTGTCCAATCTGCCTCTTCTTTCCAGAATTCTGTGTGTGAGTATTCTTAAAACAGAATCAGTGAAGTCTAGATTTCAGGCATCTGTAGATCTGGTGTCAGACACCTTGGGGAACAGCAGCATACTTCAAGTCTAGAGAAAAAGTGGCTGTGACAACTGGCCTGTTTGGGGTCTTTCTAGGCATGCCCCTGTGAGAGCTGTGCTGCATTTCCTTGTGAAGTCCGCTTGTCTAATCTTGGCTTGGTTTTTGCTTTTCCTGCTTGAAATAAACCATCCCTCTCCCTTTTTCTTTTCTATTTCAAGAAGTGCTGGGCTTGTCCATCTGAACTTTTCTTTACCCCAAGTACTTGGGGAATGTGCAGAAAAAGAATCAACACTTGTATCCACTTCATGTTATTAATTCCAGTGTCCAATCAGTAAAAGAAAACCTTATTTGGCAAGCTGGCTCAGGTTCCTATTTAGTGCTGGTAAATCAATCAGGTCCTGATCCTAAGGCTGATATGGAAGCCTTGCTTTTCATTCACCTCACATTTAACAAATGTTTAATTAGTCGTGTTATCAAGACTGATCGGTTCCTCATCTTCATTCTCATCCTCATCCTCATCCTCATCCTCATCCTCATCCTCATGGCAGGGCAGGCGAGGAAGGTATTTTAAGAATTGCACAGAATGACACAAAATTGTTCAATTCAAATTAAAAGCTTTGAATAGAAAGTAGTACTAGCCAGGTGTAGTGGTGCTTGCCAGAAATCCCAGCACTTGAGAGGCTGAGGCAAGAAGATTGCTGTGAGTTCGAGGCCAGCCTGGGCTACATAGAGAGACCTTGTCTCAAAGAAAGAAAGTAGCACTTTATGAATTATGATAATGTCTCAGAAAGAATGATATAAACCCAGGTAGGACTAGGATACTGGGTTTCTGACCTTGTCGGGTCAGGGGTGGTATGGGACAGAGATGGAGGCAAAGGAACGTGATTCACCAGGGCTGACCAGTTCTGAGCATGTGAGTGGGCCTGGCTGAACCGAGGAGGTGACTGTTTGGTTTGGCTGAGGGGATAGGCTTTCCTCCCACTCTCCTCCTTCCTTCTGAAATACATCCCCAGCCCTTTTTCTGAGCCAGGCTTTCACTAAATTCCTGTGTTGCCAGGACTGGAGTTAAATTTGCTGTCCTTTCTCAGCCTCTGCTAGTGCTGGGATCACAGATAGGCACTGCAGTGCCTGATGATTTTCTATCTGATGATTTTCTATCGAGGAACTGAGGATGGGACAGAACACTTTACAGTGTTTTCCGTTGTCCTTAGAGGACAGTAAGTCCCTGGTGGTCATGGGATGCCAAAGTCTGCAGGTGGAGGAATCCTTCTTAAGTACGTGTGGTCAAGTCCCCTCAAGAAACAGGGCTGGAAGAATGCAGATTATGACCAGCTGTTCTGCCTTTGGCTGGACATAGGTACCCAGGCATCGGAGGGTTTCTTCTCCATATTCTTTTCTCCCTTTTGTGGTCAGTGCCAAGTAAGTTACCCAGGGGTATTTGAGGTGAGAACCCTGCACGGCTGCACACGGCCACAGCCTTGGGCTGCAGCAGTGGAATTATGGATTGGGACAAGGTTCCACACCTGGTATAAGGGAAAGGTTTGGAGCTTCGGGCAGGGCACATCTGATTTGGAGTCCAGCTCACAGCCTGTAACTTCCAGCAAGTCGCAGAACCACTGCGCTGTTCGTCTCTGTGCTCGTCAGGTAAACTTGGTGGTGCCCGTGTCACAGTGAAAATAGCTGTGGGCGCCAAGGCCTTCATCTGTGGTCCCTGAGAGTTGGTAGGTGACCTTTGGACCATCAGCCTTGGTTGTTTTTTTTTTTTTTTTTTTTGGTGGTACGTAGGGCTTTGGCATTGAGTTCCACATCCAGCCCCTTTTTCACTTTTTTTGAAACAGAGTCATGTTTGTTATGCAGTTTAGGCTGGGCTTGAACTCACTGTGTAGTCCAGATTGGCCTTGAATTCATGGTGATCCTCTTGCCTCACCGTCCCTCGTTCTGGGATACAGGTGTGTATTACCGTACCCAGATCTTTATATTTTAATGTTTTTGAGTTTATATTTTAGTCTCCTCGAGTTGCTAAGTTTTCCATTTTGGGCTCATATGTGCAGTTCTCCTGCCTCAGCCTTCCAGAGTGTTGAGATTACGGGTATGTGGCACTGTGGCTGACTGTATATAATACTGTTAAGTACAGTTTTTGTGTGTGTGTACTGTTGGGCTGCAGGTTCTCTGCTGAATGGTAGACATGTAGAGATGACTCATGCTGCCTGGTGAAGCTTTATACCCCTTAATAGGTTACTCCCTATTTCCCTGTCCCCTTGGTTCCTGACAGCCTCCATTCTGCTCTCTCGCGTCTGTGCTTTAACTGTGCACGTACTTCATGTAAATAGAGCCGTACTGTGTTGATCTTCTATATGGCGTGGTTCCCTTTGCAGAATGTCCTCAAGGGCCATCCCTGTTGCTGTGTGCTGCAGGGCTGGCTTCTTTCTAAGGCTGAATCTGGCCTCTGCAGGTGTGTGTGTTGTGTTTTCTCTGCCCGTTCATTTGTTGATGGCTTTTTAGGTGTGTGTACAACACCAGAGGAAAACATAGCAGGCCTACATAACATCAGTCTCAGCACAGTTTCATGGATGAGATGTTGAGAACGTGGGCAGCAAATGCAAAAATAACCAGATGGAACTGCATGAGTTTTCAAAGCCTCTGTCTAGTCAAGAAAGTAATTAACAGCGTGGACGGCAGTGACTTGTAAGATGAGGGACTTGTAACCCGTGTAGCTAGAGAAGGTTAATCTCCAGAATAGATAAGGAGCTTCCACAACTCCATAGTGAAAAGCCTAGTATTCTGATTAAAGAACAGGTGAAATAATTGAATTGATGTTTCACCTCCAACCTTTTAATTCAGGTTTTTAGTAGAGTAGCTGCAGAGTTCTCAACATGTTGGCTTGGGGACACTCAGAGGGAAAGGGACTGTGTTGCTGTCTTCACCCAGTTCTGCATTTCTCTTCCTGCCTTCAGGAGAGTTTTAAAGCTAGTGTTGCTTTGCTGCCCACATTCCCTCTCATATTCTATTCTTGGGCATAAGTTTTGACATCTTCCTAAAGTGTCATAATAAATGTGCAGAACAGAGGGTGTGGTACTGTGGTGTTGACAGTAACATGTGAAATACATTCTGATTTCCTGAGAGTTAGTGTTTCATCCAGGTTTTCAAAGCATCTGGGCCTGATGGAGGCTAACAAGCTTATAAAACTCATTGTAAAGTCCTGCAGCATAAATAATCAGAAGTCGTTTATGAGCATCTATTGTAGATACATTGAAATTCTCATGTCCTAGACAAGATATGTCTATGTATGACTTGATGTTACTTGAAATAGATAAACTATATTCAAAGTTCTTTTCTCAGTGATTGTAGAGAATGGTTTGGAAAGGAGTAGGCCAGGACTTAAATTTCCTGAACTCTTAGCCTAAGCTCACCTTGACTTATAGCATATGATTTTTGAACAAGCCATTTAGTTGTCTTCCAACGTCTTCATCAGTAAATTGGAGACAGTCACATGTCCTTCCTTCTTAGTGTTGTCTTGAGGGTAAGATTCAGGCATGTTTCCTTGATTGGGAAGCAGTGCCTTGTGACTAAGTTATTAGAGAGTTCTTTAGGGTTGTTGTAATGTGTGGGTCAGCTTCAGGAGGAGGAGAGGCAGGCAGGGCCCAGAACGGAAAGGAAAGTCAGCTGCATCTTTCTGGAGAATCCTGGGGCTCCAGATCCTTGTGATTTTCCTGTGTTCCTGGAATGGGAGAAATCTCAGAGGTTATGGCCAGTGAGACATAGATTTCAACCTGGGTTATTAGGGCTCCTGTAGTTTTTATCTGTGAAATGCAATGATAACACAACAAATGTAATAAATGGCAGTATAATTGTTACCAACCAACTGAGCATGTCCTATGTGGTAGGCATTGTGTTGAATGCCAGCTGACATTTGTTTCTTCCTTCAATGGGTATTTGATGATGCTGCTATATGCCAGGTGCTGCTACAGACTCAAAATCAGGGGGTAGGATGGGGGTCAGACAGAAAACAAGCTAACTGCACAGTTTACATGGTAATGGGATGTCAGAGTAACTGCACACATATATTCGCTATCAAGAAGACTAAATCAGGTCAGAGAGCTGGAGGCTGATGGGAGGGGAAGTGGTGGTTTCAGCAGGGTGAGGTCCCTCTAGGGAGGAGAATTTGAGATCTGAAGGAAGGAAACGGACGAGCCTTACTCAAGCTTGGTGTTAAAGAAGGGGGCACAGGCTAGAGTAGGTAGAACCAGATGGGCAGGGAGGCAGGGGATGGGAAGTAGGGTCTGAGCTGGGCAGTGCAGGAGAAGCCATGGATTCTGAGCAGGGAATGGAAGAAATTGACCTAATGTTTTATAATGTTCCTTTGGGTAATGGTTGCAGGGGCCAGCATGGAAGCTGAGAGACCTAAGTGGGGCCATTGCTGCATCTGGGGCATTGCTCCATCTAATGAATGGATGGAGGTAGGGAAATGTTTGGATGCTTGATGTATTTTAAAGATGGAACCATCAAAACTTGCACATGGATGTGGAGCTGGTATTCAGGAGAGAAAGGAGTTGACAGTGGCACAGTCAGGGGTAAAGGATTGACACCATTTGTCAATGTGGGAAGACTGGCCAAGGTTTTTTTTAATAATGTGCTCAGCAGTCTCTGAAATTCTTTAGTATTTATTTTATTCCCATTTTAGAGATGTAGAAACTGAAGATTAGAAAAGCATAAAGTTTGCCTAGGGTTAGGAGTGACTTGGGCTCAAGCCCTGCATTTTCATCCCAGTTCTGTTCTACTTTGTAAATATCTGAATCTCTGAATTTAAAATGCCAGATTCATGTGAGTTGCTTGTGCAGATGCTTTGGAAATGCATCTATTTTTTAATGCATCTTTTACATTCCTTTCAGGTCACTCATTATCAGTGTACAGTTTGATAGTTTTGAGTACATTTGGAAGACTGGGCAGTCATCATCCTAATCCAGTTTTAGATTTCCCGGTTTCTGTTTCCATCCTCAGCTTTAGGCAACTATTTAGGCAGTTTGTTTTCACTCTCTAGAATTTTGCCTTTTCTAGAAATTTCATACACTCTGACCCTTTGTGCCCCGCTTTGTTCATTTATATGATGTTTTTGAGGTTCATCCACTGCTGCATAATACATCTGTTTTAAGACACATTCTTGACCTTTCTCAGAAGGAGGTACTCTGTTTTCAATTGAGAAACATATCTGGGATTCTTAAGGTGATGATAAAAATAACAGCACTGGGGGCTGGGGATTTAGCTCAGCAGCATAAGCGCCTGCCTTGCAAGCACGTGGCCGTGAGTTCCATCCCTGGTACCGATAAAAAGAAAAAAATAACAGCATTTATTGAGCAAATATTAATGCTAGATTTGGTTCCATTATTTTTCTTTTGTAATCTTTCAAGTGATTCCATGAGAGAGTGCTATGATTAGTATATTACAAATGAGGAAGCTAGTGCCTAAAGACCTTAAAAGGCTTGAGGATGGTAAGACCTGAGATTAGTCTGGGTCCTGGTCTCTGCAGAACTGCCTCTTGGCCTCCCGCCATTCCTGTAATGATAGATTGAGAGCTGGTACATCTTAGCTGCAGAGAGGGCTGGGAGTCCCACTTTGAGTAACGCACTTACCAGATAAAACATGGTTTTTAGGAAAATATTTGTCCTGCATTTTTATTTTGGTGTTACTGTAGAGAAATTATAATGCTGTACAGTGATCCATTTGTGAGGTAATTTTCTTAGTCATGGTGTCAGAATAGCACTAAATTAAAACACATAATTATGTTATTAGACAGAGCTTGCATGTTTGAGTAGTGTTTTAAATATTGTGTGCACCAGAAATGCATTTTGGTGTGAAGTATCCTAAGGCTGTTTATTACTTTATTATTAATGAATGGAATTAATTAAGCATCATGAACTTTTCAAGATACTGATGTAATTATGTATTAATGCATTTCTCTTGTTCTGTCAATATACATTTAAGCAGTGTTTTTCCCATCTACATAATGTCTATATTGGAAGATTTTATGTTCTGTATTATAAAGGAATTGTTTGTGTATCAAAAGAATTCTGAAATTTTTGAAAATAATTTAAATACCTCATACACATAATTACCTTGATCACACCTACTTATATAAATTTGTTCATGGTGAGCAATAAACTTGGAATGAGGACTAATGTCTTAGTTGCCTTTCTCATTGCTGAGAAAAGATACCCAACACCTGAAGTTAAGGAAGGAAGAAAGATTTACTTAGCTCACAGTTGGCTCATAGAGATTTCAGTCCGTAGTTGGCTGGCTCCAAGGCAGGGTGACTTGGCAGGGGAGAGTAGTTTGTGGCAGGTGGACTGTGTATAGCAACAAGGGGAAGACAAGGTTCTTTCTGTCCCTTGTATCACATCTACTGGGACTAGGGAGGTGCCAGTCCAATCAGTGGACTGGTTTAGTAAGCACATCCTTTTCATCCTGGCATTGAACCATGAAATTAAAGTTGCAGTAAGACTTCATTTGTACACATGACATTTATGTCCTATGTGCAGAGTACATGTATAAAAAGACAGAAATCAAAGCAAACTGAAAAACCTCTAGGGTGCAAGTGTTAGTGTAGAATGCTGCTCTAGATGCATTAATCTGACTTGTGTCTTGAATGTTTTTTCTATTTTTTTCTACTCTTATCTCGTAGGTGGCTTGATGGCTTTAAATGCTGATTTCTTGGTGCAGAGCACCAATTTTCTCATTTTTTACAAGCATAGTTTTCAGAAGCAGCTCTGGGCTGGCAGAAATGTATTGACAAAAACTGCCAAGGCGAGGAACTTGCAAGTTTCTTCTTGTGATATCTCCAGGCACTGCTACCAAGTCCAGTCCTCTGACCTGAGGGTCTCCCCTTTCTAAGCTAGGTGGGACCTTGCTGCCCTAGCCTGGTTTCTGCTTCTGGGCTCTGCCCTTTCAGTGGGTAGCAGTGCTGGCATGGCAAAATGTGCAGTCTGAAAAATCAGATGACAAAAGGTGGGGGAATCCCAGCAACCTGTTGAACTCCTTACCAGCCCATTGTTGATTTATTTGAACTAGGATCTAGAAAAAAGCCTACACAGTGCATTTGACTATTATGCTGCTTAATGGCTTTATAAGTGGAGAAGAGCTTTTCTTTTTTCACTTGTCTCCCCGCATTACTGGTTTATTGAACAGATCAGGTCACTTGTCTAGTTGAGTGTCCCACATTCTGAATTTGGCTACTAGTTTGCTTTTAAAACTTGTTCCACAAGTCCTGTATTTCTGTAAACTGGAACTTGGCACTGACACGTGATTGGATTCATAGTAGGCAGAGTTCACTTGTTGCTGGTGTTATCTGTTCTGTGCTTTGTTATCCCAGCACAAGGTTTGGTTGTCTACTCATAGTGATGTGACCATTGATCATTGGGTTTCTGTCTTGGTTCCTTCATGCTTCATGGTGGATTTTCCCTGTTGACGTATTCCCAATGTCATCAGCATGCATTGATGACAGTTGCTTGAATTAATTATCTCAAGAGAGATCAGTTAAGAGCATGTTAGTGTGAGAAGAGATTTAAAACTGGCTATCGAGTCCAGGAAAACTGTCAACATTGATGCAACTTAGGGATGTTAGAGACTTAATGGGTAAAAGCAAAGAGTGACTTGGCTTTTCTAGTGGTTGTGGGTACTTCCTATTATTAAAATTAATGGCTGTTTGCAAATCTTTATGAATGATAGTGTGTCAGTTTAATTGTATTATAGATCTTGTTTAACAGCAATATAAAATTCTGTGCACATATGCTACCTACGTGCTAAACATAACATGATTACCTGTTCACTACCTATAACATAAGATTATGAGATACATAGTTCTATAGTCCACAGTACGTTATCTTTTTAAGTGATTATTTAAAATTTACTGACACATATAGACATTTATGTCCTGTCTTTTTAAAAGAAGTATCTATTGATGAGTTTATAAGAACAAGAGAAGGATGATAAAACTAAAATAGTTTTCTCTTCTGCCAAGATGTAAGAGAAATGGTCCCTTAAAGGTACCTTTGAACTTCACTGTTTAGAAAAGATGAATTATTGCAGCGTTTCCAGTGAAAAATAGTTGAGAGGCCTCCTAAAGGGACTTGGTCATAGCAGACGAAATTTATTTATGTATCCTCCATTATCACTGGGGTATATCATGACATAGGACCCCAGAAGTCTGATGTTTGAAGGCCATTGGTATGGAAATGGGTTGATTTCTCCTATCATTGGCAGATCATCCTTCTAACAGTGTGCTCCCAGAAACCACTTCGTGAGAAAGGCTTTGTAAAAGCAAGTCCTAGGAGTTGGGTGTGCCTCCTATGGGCATGTCTCATATTAGGAGTCCTGTTTTTGACCAGACACTTGGTATAAAATAAATCATGGCTACCACCAGAAACAGTAAAGCATATAAAATCTGAAATCCTAAAAGAATTTGAAATTGAAAATGACTCTGTGTTGTCAGAGAGGGTTTGAGCATAGAGAAGCCATGACAGCCAAGAGTTATAGGATCTAGACTTCTCATTTTTAGTGAATAAACTAACCCTTCGACGTACTAAATAGCTTGCTCAACACCACACAGGTAATGATGGGTGGAGTTGGAACCAAAACTCACCCAGAGTAATGATCACTAAAACTTCAGTGTTACTCATAGACATGCCTAATGCTTTACATGCTTCTCTCTCTCTTTTTTAATCCTAATAACGACTTTGTAATACAGGACTGTGCCTGGCTGTCTTTTGCTGAGAAGCACACTGAGGCATAAAGATATTCAGTAACTTACGTGTGATCACATAGGACTCAGATACATTCATTATAGAGAATACTATATTCCGTTACCCACTCTGTAGTCCTTTCTCCTTCCTTCCTTCCCATCTTTTTTTGTTTTTTTCCCCATGCACCCTCTTACTATTTTTAAGTTCATTATTTCTTATTAAAAGAATGCTTTTTCTTAATGACCTATAAACATGACCTAATAGGGTTTTCCATAAACTCTTAAGATCTATACTTTTTAAAAAAATCAGCCCATTTGTTATGAATATGGTCAATGGAACGTGATATGCTTGCTGGAATAAGTATTTTTCAATAGTAATTTCACTTTTTTTAACGTTAAAAAAGCTTTTGTGTCCTCAGGACTTTTAAAAGATGTCTAGAAAGGTTTGATGGGATAGTGTCTTAATAAATGCCCTGAGCCAATTCAGAGCTTTAAAAATAATTCTTCTGATCATTCTTTAAATTTAAAAAAGTCATGTTTTACCTTTAGATGTTTGGAAGCATCATCAAGAAGCTTAGTGGCTTGTGGTCTGGGCCATCCTCATCCTTCTGTCCTCCTCCCTCCCTCTCTTCATATCCTGGGCAGTCCTGAGCAGTTCTGCAGCTGGAACGTGGGGAGGGTTCAGTGACTTCAGGGGCATGCACAAGGTGGCAGTTTGGAAACCATGAGGATGAGAAGCCATTATCTTGCAGTGGAAGAGGACATTAGTTGGTTTTCTGAATGTTAGTCTCTCTTTTATTTCTTTCTTGTTATTTTTTTTTTGAGGCAGGGTCTCATGTCCTTAAGCACGGCCTTGAACTCTTGAGGCTTGTATGATCTTCTTGCCTCAGCTTCCTGGGCAGTGAGGACTCAGGCACAATGCCCAGATAACCTTCCTATTCCTCAAGACTGCTTATGAGGCCCCGCTTTTCTCTGACCATGCTGCCACAGAGAGCCCAGTATGGATGCCTCAAGCGTACTAATTAAAATGGTAACCTGTGTTCAGTGAGTGGTGAGGAGACAGACAGATCCTGATCAGGTTCCAGAAAGCATTCACTTAGAGTGACCTGCACGCTGATCCATGGGTGCCTTGAAACAGTCTGATAAAAATACATTTGGCTTACAAATACCCATAGATATGCCTGGAGGAGGTTTGCTATTTTGATTTCATACTACAACTGAAGTCCGTGTGACTCTACCAAGACTGTTTTCTCTCTACTACACTTACACAAGAAACTAAATAGCTCACACATGTAGCCTGGTACATGTTGCAGGCACACACTAGTGAACCATAACACTTAGCTGACTAATTTCAAACTCTGCCTATTTATAGCCCCTTCAGAGCTGTCATCAGACAGCTGGTGGTATGTTCACATCATGTGGACTCACAGGGCTTTTTAAGTGGAGATAAATTGTTTTCACTTCAGGGTGGATCATTTGGCAATGTTTCAGTGTGAGCCCTGACTGGAGTTTGCAGCAGTCCTTGTAGGACTGAGCACAGGACCATGCCCTAGGAAACATGCAGCTCTCTTTCTTTGTAGACAGCTCTGAAGCGTAAGACCTCCTTGGTGCACACCTGGGCATAGGGCTCCCTTCCTTCACTTCTGACTTCACCATTTCCTCTGTCTCACCCATCATGCCTCACCCTATCTGCATTGTACTGCCACTTGTCACCACAGAAGAATAAAAATATGATCCGGAAACTAAACTTCTTAGTTATCAGCATGGTAATGACAATTTTATTACGAGAATAATGTTTAACACCGTGCCTTAAGGCTGCCTTTTTTATGTGTATGCATAAGAAATTCTTGTTCACACTAATGGAAAGTTTGCAAATATTAAATGTTTAAAACACTTAAGTGAGTGGGTGAGGATGCTCTTTGCCAGCTGTCGTCTCTTGTCCATATTCTCATGTCTGTCCAGTTACCTACTGTTTGAATTCTAATGAATGTTTCACAGTGTACTCTACAGAGCTCTTGTCTCTGTTTTTAGATGGCTGTCAGTTGTGCTCAGTTTACTCTGTAACCTTCAGGGCACGTGCATACCACAGATCTAGAGCACACGTCTCTCCTGCCACATCCTCTTCTCCTGGGAACGTCCCTTGGTACGTTGCTCCACCTGTGGTGTTGGTAGCAGGGACTGTGGCTCATGGGAATGGGGAAGAGAGGAGGGAATAAAGCCTCACCTCCTTTCACTTCTCAGCCTGATCTTAGGTGATTTGGAGCATCTTCCTTTGATGTGAGTGCCTGGAAAGTGGTGTGAGGGAGCAGAGGTTAGTGTGGTGGGGTCCAGTGTACAGTGGGCCATCCTGGTGCCGGCTTTCATTGTGGAGAGAGCACTACATGTGTTTTCTTTTTTCTTTGTTGGGATGAAAGGGTTGATGCTCTTCCTTGAATGTCCACCAGCTGTTTTATATAGATACCAGCATCTTTAGGCCATTGTCAGTCCTGAGACCCTTTGTTTATGGTGAAATGAAATGGAAGGCTCTGAGGACTTGAGGGCTGTGGAGTGAGAACACCATTGTCACCTGGGAGGTGCTTCTCTCTCTGGGGTTCCTGTAGCCTCTTGATTGCTGCTGTGGTTTTGATTTCTGGTTAGGAACTTTGTGGGTAAGGGGCCATGTCATTTTACTCTCTTGTGTCCCTATAGGTCCTGGGTAGAGTAAGCACTGTTCAAAGTGCTCGGTGCTGTGCTAGGTCAGGCACTGACCCACTGACTGCCTTTGACACTGTGTGTGCTGTTTTTCCCAGTGGGGCTGCATAAACCTCCTCAAGTCTGCCTTGTGTCACCTCCTCAGCCTGTCCTTAAGCTCATTCCCTGTTGGCATCTGGAATCTATAGGGGTAGCTAAGCAGTTCCTTTTATGAGGCAGTATCTACTTCTGTGTTTGTAACATTTTTAGCCCCACATTTTCTGAGCTCAAAAGTCCTTTTCCTAAAGATTGCGTTGGAACTCATCCAAGTGATGACCATGACAAGAAGTACCTTTTGGGAAAGGCTTTGTGTTGTATCCCGGACCTTGCATCCCAGGAGGTGGCCTTGGGATTCCTGCAGGAGTCTGAGCAAGGTTGAAATACAGATATTCCTAGTGAGTGGACAATTTTGGCCTTCTCTCCCTTCACCTCTGGAGCTTCCTTCTCTGTGAACTTTTCCTTCATGGCAGCTGTGCTGTCAGTAAATGCACAGGTTAATGGGGTGGGGCCTCTTCTTCCTCTGTCCCCACCCACGCTATCTTTATGATTCGGGTGGAGTGAGATGTCCGGCCACAACTTCCGTGACCCTGCTCTAAAAACACAAAGGGAGAGAGCTGTGCAGTATGGTTGGGATCTCCCATAGCAAAACATATTAAACGTAGAAGGGCGCAGCTGCTAAGTGGGTGCCTGCAAAGGTACACCTGCTCTTGTCCTGTTGGCAGAGCTGTGTGGTTTGTGTTGTGGTTCTGCATTTCACATCACTCATTGTTAACGAGCAGTAGTTTTCCTGCAGTTAACTTAGTTCTAGGTTATGCATGTCTCCCTCGAGTGTCCTGCCTCTGGATCTTAAATAAGACCGTGACTCTCACACGGAAATGGCTACATCCTCCCCTGTCTCCCTTGGCAACTTAGGCCGGATGAATAATTCTTCTTTTTCCAGATTCTTTAAATTTAGAAGCAATATGAGTTGACCAGTTCTGAAATCAGAGTGTGTGGGCTGGTCTTCGGCGGCTGCAGTTTGCCAACTTGTGATTTTGGGCAAATGAATTATCTGATTTTGTTTCCCGAGCAGGGAGAGGGAGGTAATGATAGTGCCTCCTGCACTGAGTTAACAGTGTTGAATTACTGCATTAGCAGTGTGCCTGTGGAGAGTGAGCACTTAGAGAAATGATAACTAGGTGTGAGCACTTAGAAAATGGTAACAAGGTGGCTGTGTTGTTGGTAGTGTATACTTCAAAGTTCGGGCATTGCTTTTAGAGCTGTTGTCTGTCTTCTGGTGGTCTGGTCACTGTCTGTTCTCTACCTGTGGCCAGAATGAATTGTTTGAGAACTCTACATACACTTATGGGGACAGCAATGAGGTGTTGAAATTGAAACTGTCCCCAATAACCTGGATGCTGTTGGCAAGTCATACAAGTAAGGTATGTTTTTCCATGGCCGAGGACTGTTTATTCTAATGCACCCAAGCCAGGAGTATGAATTGTGGCCACAAAGATTGTCCATGGTACGTGAGGATTCTAACTGTTGGCCTGGGCAAATTCCACGAGTTTTTGTTTGGTACTGGGCATTGAACCTAGGGCTTTCACACTGAGATACAGTCCCAGCCTTTTTATTTTTGTTTATTATTTTAGTTTTCTTGAGATAGTGTTGCTAAGTCACTGAGTTGTCCAGAATAGGCTTGGACTTGCAGCCTTCCTGGTAGGCAGCTTCCCAGTGTGTGCAGTTTTAAACAGTGATTCCAGACTTCATACAGCGTGTCTCCTTTTGCGGAATGGATATTGATTTTGCAGCATCCTGGCATAATCATTAGTTGGTAATGCCAGAATTGGGCATCTTTTGGGAATACGATGATGGCCTAGTAAGCCTGTGTGCGGGATAGCTAAGGAAAGGATGCTTCAGAGGAGCTGGTGTTTAACTATGTTCAGTGGCCTGGAGCACTGAACCTGCACTTTCCTTCATTATGCCCCGTTTTCCAACCACAGTAATTCTTCCTTTTATGTTGTTCTACAGCCACATTAACCCATTTGCATCTTCCTGAACTGTAAGTACATTCTTGCTAGGACCTTCAGGTCTCCCCAGATCTCTCTCTGGAAGGCTTTTACACACATTCTCAGTGACCCCTCTGGGCATCTGTGTAAATGCAACCCCTTGACTAGCTGCACCCTCTGCCTCTCCTTTGTTGTTCTTCCTTGCACATCATCAGCTTAGCTTCATAACTGTGTTCCTCCTCCCCAGCCGTCTCTAAATCATGCATTCTGTGGACTCAGTGACCTATTCAGGCCCTGTCCAGACAGAGACTTAGTTCTGTTCTTGCTGTGTGTGGCTGTAACCTCAGGTGTCCTTCAGCCAGGTGAGATTGCTTTTATTCTCCCCAAAGCCACAGAGGATAGAGTTCTTTAGGTCTTTATCTCTGACACTAGCTTCATCATCTGTCTTCCCAACAAGCTGGCAGAAGGAAATGATACTTGGAAAGAAAATTCTGCAGAGTACATTAAGTTCCACCTTGATAGGAAATTGGGAGCCAAGTAGGAGAATCCGGTTAGCATTTCTTTTCAATGAATTAAAATGAATTAAAGACCATTGAATTAAAAGCCAGACCTAATCTTATGCCTTCCGCCTTTGTGGTTTTTTAAAATAGAAGATAGCTGTGTGTTCAGTGTACTTTCGTTTGTGTGCAGAAGGATACTACCTATATTGTAGCTCATTGTCCCTTACTTAAGGTTCTATGTGATGAACTTCTTTTAGACTATCATGCCTTGATTTTTCTCTTAAGAGGATGGGATGCCATTTTTTTCTGAGAATAAAAAATATGTAACTTTGTTTTGTTTTGTCCTGGCTATGAGAAAGCTTAAAACCACACTTAATACACAGATCTGGAAATTATATGTGTTCTAATGTATAACATTTTGCTATGTCTTGTATAGGTTGCCTTGATTTTCTAATTCTGTTATATTTACCTACTTGCATATTTGACTTATATTTTAAGGTCCCTAAATCGTCTTTGGAAAGTACCAAGGAATGACCAAGCAGTTTTTTCTCTCTCCTAATATGAGGTGTAGAGCCTTAAAATTAGTTTTGAAATTCCCTTGCCCTTTGTGGTTTCAACTTGGGTAACTGCTTGCAGAAATTTCTGTTTGCTCAAGTGTAATTTCCATTTCTTTGGCTAATAAGCCCAGGGTAGCAATTTTAGGATGGTTGCCCACTGGGCAGGGAGGCTGGCACTGGTAAATTATCCCATACCATTGGAGACAGAGCTCTCACCGATTTTATCTGGTTCATTCTAATTGTGAGATTTTCATCGCATTTCTGTAGTAGCCTTTAACCATGTGCTGCTTTAGGGAAACCAGCCATCTGGCTCCAGAGTATTAAACCTACTTGCTTATGAGACAGCATCTTCTATGTAATTGAGGCTGGCTTGAACTTGTTTTATAGTCCCAGCTGGCCTTAAAACTTGGAATCCTCCTGTCTCAGCCTCTTGAGTGCTGGATTATTACCACCATGTCTGGCAAGAAATAATGTTTTGATTATGTTGCATGATTATATTCATTTTTTAAAAATCTTTTTTGAGGCAGGGTTTCACTATTATAGTTCAGGCTGGCCTTGAACTTACTTTGTAGTCCAGGCTGGCTTTAACTCCCAGTGATCCTCCTGCCTCAACCTCAGCCTCCCGAGTGCTGGGATTACAGATGTGTACCACTGTGCCCAGCTGATTATATTCTTTTTGACCTACTGCTAAAAATCAGTGTTTAATTTTTTTGTTTTCTTTGTTTTTAATTGCAGGGAGGATTTAATCTAACACAAATACTCTTCCTCTACTCAGACATATGATAATTTCTCTATTTCTTAACAGTAATCATGGTGATCTCAATATTTCTTATTAATGAATACTTCTTAAGCATTGCAAACTCTTTAATTTCATAGTAAACAGCCTTATTTCTCTTTCTTAGATGGAAAAAAAACTAAAAGAAGTGAAAAGATGTGAGTATGCTGTTAGGATTCTAGTAGTACATCACACTATTGTAAAATAGTTCTTCCCAGTTAGATTCATCTCACTAACGTCATGTAGTGTAGAAAGACTCCACTATTTGGGAGGAAATTTCCCAATTGTTAACTACATTCTGACTCTATTTTTATTGTGATAAAACACATACAGCAAATGCCCAGATTTTCATCATTTTTAAGTGTAGAGTTCAGTGGCCTCAAGTTCATTCATGCTGTTGTGCAGCCATCACTGGCACCCACCACTGCAACTTTTTTTTGCAACTTTTTATTAAAAGCTAAACTGTGTTTATTAATTAGTTACCTCAATTTCTCTGCCCCTCAGCCCCTGGCCACCAAGTTTCTGCTTTCTGTCTGTGACTCTGACCACTCTGAAAACCTCCTATAAGCAGAATCACGTACTATTTGTTTTTTGGCTTATTTCATGTCACACAATATCCTCATGGTTACCGTGTAATAACTTAAAAACTGCCTTCCATATGAAGGGTAATATCCCATTGCATGTAAATGCCATATTTTGTTTATGCATTTGTCCGTTGCTGGATCTAACTCACTTTTGATAGGGTAGCTCACAAGCTGCATTTTAAAATACAAAATACAGTAGGAAGTGTGTGTCCCTTACTGTCAGTGGCTGGAGCTGCCCAGCGTGCACTCAGGTCAGGCACCTGCATGAACTGCTGTGTGGTGCTGTTGTGGTTTCCTTGGATTCCCACTGTTACACAAAGCGTTCTCTATGCCATGTTTGTAGGCTTTTCAAGAGAGAAGTCTCCTGGGAGGTGATAGGTAAACATTAAACTAGAAACTTCGAAAAATATTTCTTCTGCTTTATTCAGTGCAGGATGCTTAACTTCATTACTGCTTATTATTGATTCACATGGTTAAGAGTTTCATGAGCTATTTATCCTAGAGGTCTTCATAAATGGCAATGTCAATAAAGAATGTCGCATTTCTTTCTTGCTGTTTTCAGGTTGAGTGTAGTATAGTAGAGAGTAAGATTATCTGGAATAAAACAGCTCTAGAGTCAAACATTCTGTTTCTGGGTGGCTTGACCAATTTTATGCTGTTTAAGAAGAGATACACCAGCATCCTTAAGCAGAATTAGGCCAGGTTAAAGATGGAGGTATGTTAGAAAAAATGTGATGTAGTGTCATTTAAAGGTCATATTTTTAGCTTGGTGTGGTGGCACATGCCTATAATCTCAACACTCAGAAGGCTGAGGCAGGAGGATCATTGTGAGCTTAGGCCAGCCTGAACTGCATAATGACACTTTATCTCAAAAAGACCAAAAAAAAAAAATCATGTATTTTTTCCTGTAGAATGTAATTGCTCAATTCCTTTTCTGTGAGTTTACTAAATTTACCAATAATCTGTTGCAGGTTCTTATGCTAATTTTTTTCTCAGTCTCTTATCTTAGTTAACTTAGGTTCATAAGATAATGGACTGAAAGTGTGTGATCTGCTAATTTAATTTGATGCAAAGAGGGGAACCATTGTGATCATCTCTGAGTACTTTGTTCTGAAGTTTGGATGACAGGTAATTTTTGATCTGTAGGAGCTCAGAACAGGAAGGAAACAAAATATAGGTATGAAAGATACTTCCCAAATGCCATTTGTTTGTCCAAGAGACATTTTTACCAGTCTGCAGAATGTTTTACTGAAGATCGTTTTTAGAAATGAACAAATTAAAACACCAGCAAAAAAACATGGCTTTTAGTTGTCAAATGAATTATATCCACCAGACTGTATAGTTTTAATGGCTTCTGGTACAAAATTCAGAGTAACAGTTCATTTTACAGATCCAGTTAGGAGTAACTATGGAATGCCTGAAAAAACGTATACCTCGATAACCATTTGTTAAATCTAGTTAAAGATTTTGGGAGAGGGTTGCATTCATTAGTGTGTGCTTGTGTGTGTGTGTGTGACACTAAACTCTGTTCTCAGGTAATTCATTTTTAGCATTTATTTATTTATTTATTTATTTCTGCAGTCAGAGTAGAGCTAAACTCTACTACCACTGCTTCTTAGGTCTTTGGGCACATTTCATATTGTGGGCTAGGAAAAAGCAGGAAGATCAGATAAACTTGTGAGGCGCAGTTAGTATAAAAGTATTGCAGGCTCATATTGGTACACTTGGGAGGACCTGAGAGAATCAGACTTGAGCTACACAGCACCGCAGTTTTTCCAGGGTGTCTCCCTGTGCCCCTTGTACACAATGAGTAGGCTGTGTCCCAGGAGCTGCCTAGTGCCTGCCTGTAGTGGGGCACAAGTTGACATCAGCTCAGTAAGTAGGTGCTGTGTATGCTCCCACAGTTACAACGTCACAATCTTTGTTTTGATGTTGATTTGTTACTTCCTAACAGTTGGACAGCAATGACCCAGAATTTTGATGGAATCCCTGTGTAGAGAGGAGGACCTGTCAGCCCTGAGGTTATACAGTTAGTAGTAGAACACAGCTGGGAGTAGAACTCCAGTCCCTCCTCCCACCAGGGCTGTTTATTCCAAAGATCATGGTACACTCCAATATATGATGCCCAATCTGAGAACAGCTGGAAGACGAATGGCATTCTTTATTTTCTATTGTATTGTACTGAACACATTCTCTGCTGTCTGTAGTAAAACTTGGCATATCTCCCAAGTAGACTGTAATGCCATGAGTTAGAATCTGAAGGAGCACAGTTTTCATTTGCCTCAGACCTTGTGTACAGGTATTATGATGATGCATAAGAAATACTAAAACTCAGCCTCCTGGAGTGGGGCAGTGGAGTTATAAATATTTGAGAGGGTGTCAGATGGGCAGGTGGTGTGAATGCCAGGCTGTGGTGTGCACCCAGACCCGGAATGGGGTCTGATCTGTGATGCACGCTGCAGACTGTGACAGCACCCAGCGTGGGAGCTGCTTGGTAAAGGTTACACATTTCCTTTCTTCAAGGGTAGATTGTAATCAGCCTGTGTGAAGGGCATTTGGTTTCAAGTAGATTTTAGTATGAACCAAATTTTACCTAAAAGTGCTATTGAAGACAGTGGTGTGCTGCAGCTATAGAGGTGGCATAGTCTGTTTGGCATCATTTGCCATAGTTCCTGTAGCCATCCAGCTTTCAGAGTTCCTTCTTTTTGAAGAAAGAGCTTCTGGGGTGGCTGTTCCTCACTCACTGTGTAGGGAACTGCCACTGTTGAGAGGTGTGTTTTTACTATTCATCTTTTTACTTGTCACCTTGGATGAGTTCAGTCTCTGGAACCCTATGTCACTTACATGTTAGTAGACAGGTGTGGGATTTCCTGGGCATATTACTCTCTTGCTAAAAGGTGACCATTTAAAACCTTGAAAAATTCATGCTTAAAGTAGAAACAAGAAATTGTGAACTGGAGCTAAGGATGAAGGCTGGGCTCTTCCTGTGGGATATAGAACAGTCTAGTTCATTGCTGGACATTGTGTGGACTTAACCTTGTGGGCTTCACAATGAGCCTGAATAAAAGCCATGTCTTAACAGTAGTGAGTCGTATTGGATATTGTGTCTTTGGTAGGAAGAGGGCTTTATAAGAGGTTGTCTCTTTCATTGTCATGTACTCACTTACATTTTTTCCCTGGTATTCTTTAAATGCCTAAACATGCTTGTTAAACTTTGGAGGAGTTGCTGTTCTCTTACTTTAAAAACATCATTTTGTGTTCAATAACTTTTATCACTCCATGTTGTATGATTTAATCCATGCTGTATGATTAAATTTATGTTGTCTTTGGAGATTTCTCTTTCCAGTAAAATATGACTCTCCAATGAAGATCATGGGATTGGTGTGTAGTTTGAAGTACTTATTACAGCCTGAATGCTTACCCGCCTCACCGTATTCACATGTTGAAATCCTACCTGCAGTGTGATGGTGTTTGGAGGTGGGCCTCCAAGAAGTGACTGGGTCCCAGGGTCCCAAGGTGCAGCCCACACAGAAGGAGACGGAAAACATGCTGTCTCTGTTCTCCACTGTGTGTGGACAGGTGAATGGACTGACCTCTGTAGACCAGGAAGCAGCCCTCACTAGGCACTGAATCTGCTGACTCCATGGTGTTGGACTTCCCAGCATTCAGGGAAATAAATATTTTTGGTAAGTCACTCATGCTATGGTAAATTTGTGTTAGTAGCCTGAGCTGACTGTGTGCTTTATTAAAGTAGCACTTGATTTTAACTTACCTTTATACCTTTTTCCTAGTAGTTGCAGAGTACTTAAAAAAAAAAAAAAAAGGCAACAGAAAACAAACGAAACAACCACAACACAGTACTCTGATGTGTCCAGAGATGCATTTGTTTCTCTTGCTTGCTTGAGATTGGGGGTTGGGGCTTGAGGGTTTCTTGTCAACCCACTAAGGCAGTGTACTACTTTAGTCCCTGGCTAATGAGAAAAGGATTTTATAGCCCTCCTTTATCTTGCGTAATAATTTTCACAGTGGCTTTGGCTTTCTTGCACCACATTATTTCACCACTCTGTCCTGCAGGCCTAGTGTATACAAATATTTAGTGAAATATGATGTTAGCCCAGACAAATAGATTACACACCTTTTTTTTTTTTTTGTGATTATATCTGCTGTGTCTTTTCATTTGAGAAAATATATGGGCTATCCTTATGTTAACATATGGTTATCATCTTCCTTCCTTCCTATATAATCATATTTCTTTATATGAAAATAAAATTTTTAGTAGCATTTATAAATGCCACCTTAGTAACCGTGGCCTGGCATGTGAACATTTTGTATTTTCTTATTGTTACTAATGAAATTGATGTAAAAATGTGATCTACTGGCAACTTGGCTTGAGAAAATAGGCTGACTTAGCAGTGGGGATTTCTGCTCTGTTTCTGTACTCTGAATTTGAATGAGCTCTGGGCTTGTCCCGCCTGCTTAGTTGCATTTAGACTAAGTCTAGAAAAGTGACCTGTCCTAGAGAACCTGTGAAAGTTTACTCTGCCTGCCCCAGAACAGGCCCTGAATGTGTGCTCTTTTGAAGCAACAGTGCCCTGCTTTGAGGTGGGGACAGAGAGAACCTGGCCAGGCGAGGGAAGGGCAGAGTGCCCCTGATGCCTCCCAAGGTCCCTAGTCCCAGGACTGCCACTCTCCTGGTTACCTGTGACCTTACTGTGCCGTTGTATTTGATGAAGGTCCAAACACTCCCAGGCTCGGCTGAACTGTTCTCCCCAGAACTTAGCGGAAATTTGACTCAACAGAAGTACAGTAGAATTGATAGAATTTTTCTGCATAGTTTTTCTAAATAATGCTAAGACATTTTTTCTGGAACAATGTATTTTATTGTTGAATCTTTCTAACTTCCTTTCATAGGACTCAAATTATTTGATGCAGTCTTAACATGTATACGTGTGTGTACTTGCACACATGTATGCACAAGGCAAATACAGCTAAATACAACACCCGTGCCCTTCCTTCCTTTCATGGTGATACAGTAACTTGAATCTTTTTCATTTTGTCTTTTATTGTCAAGGACTATTTTTTACATTTGCCTTTCTCTTGTTAGCTTTTGGCAGTTGTTACAGTTCCAAATCCATCAGGATTCTCTGGGTTCAGTTATCAAACACATCATTAGCAAAATACATGGGATGTAAGGAGACTCAGGATTAGGCACAGGTTTGAATGAGTACGATGATGTGGATGATGATTTGTGAATCAGGCATCTGAGAATTGAGTTCTAAAGGGAAGGGATGCTGAGACAAGGACCAGCAGGAATGCATTTCAGAGCTTAGAGAATTTGTGACTTCATTGGTGGGGGGTTAAATATGTCTTTGTACCAAATAGTTTCCAATGTGGTGAAATACAATTGTGGGACACCAGGTCTGCCATAGACACCATTTACTAAGATCCCAAACAGTGGTCCCCAATTCATGTGGAATGTAGCCCCTTTTCCACCTACCCAGTCTCTTCTCATCAGCACTTGCATCTGTGGGTTCCTTCATCCCTCCAGGCTCAGGGGACTTTGCTCCTACAACAGCTCAGTGCTTTCCCTCTGTTTCCTTGCCTTCCATTTCTTCCACTTTTGCTTGTCTCCTCCCTTGTGATCAGCCAGTTCTCAGGCCTCTTTCCCTCCTTCCTGGTCCTATTAGAAACCCTGCTGTTTACTGTGGACCCAGCAACTTTTGTGAGTGGAGAGTTCTGTCCCATGCTGTGTGTGGCTGGAGGTTTGGAGGCTGGAGATCGGGACCCTGCCTTTCTGGCCACTTTCAGATTGTTACTTTTCCATGCCCATCTTGTTCCACTGAGGCTCATTTCAATAATCTTCTGTCCTTGGCCCTTCAATGCTGTCATTTCCTGGTTTTAGCCCCCACTGACCAATTAGGCACTGGATGACAGACTTCTCTTAGGTGTCTGTGTTTAGCAACACTCCGAGGTGATGCTAGTAGCAGCCAGAGCTGGGAACCAGCAGTTCCAATTTGTATGGGAGTTGGAAAGGTTAGGGTCCAGTCTGGAGACTGAAAAGATGGCCAGGATATAGGATGTTCAGTGCTCAAACCAGGCTGAGTGCACTACTCTGCAATTTCTGTTCTAGGTCTTGTTATACCAGGAGTTGCTGTGATGTGAAATTCAGAGATTCAACCTACTGGCCCAAACATCCTGCCCTTCAATTCATCTAAGCAGGAGTCAGATTCTTCTTCTGCAGGTCTGTTTCTGGCTCCTGCTTTGACTGTCTGCCAGTCCTGTCCCACTGTACGTTTCCAGTGTGAGCCAGCACTGCAGCTCTGCTACATCCCTGTGCCTGCTGTCTTGGCTCATCCCAGCCCAGGAGGCCTAGGTTGCCAGAGGGAGTGGCCCAGAACTCTGTGAGATCTGTCCCTGCCTCACCTGGGTCTGCACACTTCCTGGAATTTTCCTTATCAGCCCTCTCACTTCCTGTAGTGACTTTCCCAACCTTATGACCACTTTTCTCCTTACATCTCCAGTTTTGTACTCAGCCACTTCCCTTCTCCTTGTCTCTGCCTGCAGATGGTCTTGTGTCTTGGATGAACTGGATGAAGACGGCTCCTTGTTCTTCCCACTGGCTTTGCACTCCTGCTTCTGTGGCTATCTTGTTTTACCTTTTTCTTCTTACACTTGGAAGAGGAATCCTTGTTGCTTTCTAAAAATCAGCTTTTGCACTCCCTCCCTCCACCCCTTGTGCCTTGTGTTGGTGTTTCCTTCTTTTTAAGCATTTGTGAATATTCAGGCCTCTCCCACCTTAAGACCTAAGAAGAAAAGAGCAGCTCAGCCCTTCTTTAGCTGTCACTTTTATTCTCCTCTTGGTTAAACTGAGTGATATTCTGCTTTTAGGTGTGTGTGGATTATCTGTTACTGTGGAAGAGACTATCACAAATTTAATAGTTTAGGCAGCACTCAATGATTATCTTACAGGTTCTCTGGATTAAGACTCTGAAAGAAAACAGTCTGCATGTTTGACCTCGTTTCATTGTACTGATCTCTTTAATGATTCTTTTAAATGAAAACTGTTTTCCAAATGCAGAGGACTTAGAAGAGTAGAATTGTTTTCCATTTTTAAAGATGTGTTTCATAATCAGCTTTAATAAAAAAGTAGTTGAGTTCCCACACCTGCTTCTGATTTCAGTCTGTGATGACAGTTTGTTTTAGTTGCAGTATGTACAAAAAATCCAATCTCAACAGATAAATGATGGGCAGGTTAGAGAGTTGAAATGACCTTTTCAGAAATTGTGTGTTTTCTTTGATGTCCCACCCAAACTTGACAGGTGATAAATATCTTAGGGTTAGTTACATCGTGCATTCTGAAATTTTAAGTGATCTTCTCCTATTCTGATATATCAGAACATTGCTCTATTTTCCATTCTGACTAGGATACTAAAGGAATAGTTAAGTCAGTTATAATACATCCATGTAATGGCATACTGTGCAGCCAGATTGCAAGAAGTATTTTACCACAGGTGAAATGCTCACAAATGTAATAATGAATAAATGTTAAAAATGAAGTGTTTGTATTGTTTTAAAGGAAATTTACTGAAATGTGGATATATTTAGTGATATATTCATGGATAACTCTTCTTTTCTTTTCTTTTTTTTGAAGTAGGGTTTTGTTTTTATGTAGTATACACTGGCCTTGGACTCACTGTGTAACCTCTCAGTATCCCCGTCCGGCCTCAGAGTGCTTCAGCCTCTCAAGTGCTGAGTACAGATGTGTGCCACTATGCCTAGCAATGTTGTAGTTTCTTTATACTTCTGTGTGTTTTCCAGTTTTGTGTGAACAATTCATTGCTTCTAAATCAGGGTAGGGGAAATGTATTTTTTAAAATGAGAAAATAAGGATGTCTGTTAAACGGATTTCCTTGTCCATAGGTTTCCTTATATGGGGAAAACATCAGGATTGACAACTGTAGCAGCAGTGTTGTTTTTCTTCAAGTTTTTATTTATTAAATGGATTAATATAATCTTTCTGTGGCTGTCCCAAGCCTTGAAATTTTTCGTGTTTTAGCAACAATTTATTGGTTCAGCAGAGAAATGTTACTCAGAGTTTATTCAGGAAAAGTTGTGTGCATTGACCTCGCACATGCAGTGGAGACAAAGCTACCTTTTCCCATTCATGGCTTCGGACAGCTCTGCTTCTTGTCTGAGGAAGATGGCAGAGGATGTCTTGTCCTACCGTGATAATGGCACTTCCTGTGTGGTTCAGAAATAACCTGTACACAGGTATGTGGTCCCCGTCTTAGCTGTGGTGCCCTAGTCCTGCTGCCAGGGTGTGGGTGTTGTCTGCTTTTCTTCGGTTTTATGGCCGCAAGTTGAAGTGGTTTCAGAAATGCAAAAGGCAGCTGGCATTTGGGGATTAGTTAGTCACTGCTGACCCTTGGATTTAGAAAGGATGTTTGCCAGTGCTTATCTGGCTACTACTTTGTTCTAAAGAGTTGGCGCTGCCAGACTTTCGTCTCTGGAGAGACAGGAATCTAAACCTGGTGATGCTCTGTTGTCCTGTTGTTCATGTTCCTTAGTTTTACATTTCTTATGATACAAGTAATTATTAAGATGACTGAGGATGCAATGAAGCATCCACAAAGCATGAAATAAGCAGCTTTGCATCCACCACCTGTCATATTATAGCTCAGGGCATCATTACTCCGATGGGTCTGGGGGCTGTGTGGGGCCCATGGGGGGCCGTGTGGCCGTGTGCGTGGCCCTATGTGAGTGACTACCAGGGATTGCAGCCTCTCCCCATTGTCTACAAAGGCGCAGCTCCCATCGAAGTGTCAGCTGTGAGAGAGGACTACTTAGTGCATGTTCAAATACTGCTTTACATTAAAAGAGCACTCTGTCCTCTGCTGAAAGCCATTGTGAATATTATCCTAGTGGTTAAAAGTATCACTAGGTTTGGAAATACGCTACTTTCATTTCCATCCAGTGTTAAAAGCTAAATATTTTGGAGAGTACACTCCAAATATACCTAGTGGTTTCTCTTTTTTGTTGAAACTACTATTTTCATGTAACTGTTTTTTGAATCTACCAGTGTCTTTTACATATTAGACTTGGTTTAGATGGATTTGCAGATCCTAAATAAGGATATTGAGTGTTACTGTTGTGTTACCAGAACCAAAGACTGCAGAGGCCTCTTACCCTTGCCTGCACTCGTGTTGAGAGTTCATCCTTCCCTTGGTCTGACTCTTGCCTGTTCTCTGTCCTTCTCACCACTCCCTTGCCCTGGTCCCTCTTGCTGTTTCCAGCTCTGGCCTCTGTCTGCAAAAGCTCTTCCCTGCTTAGCCAGTGGCTGGCCTCTTAGTTCTGCAATCTTTGCTCATTATTGTGGTGACACCAACTGCTTCAGCAGGGAAGTTGGCTGTGACCGTTTATTTAAAGTAGAAAGTAGCACCCCTCTTTTCACCTAGGTTTCCGCCCACGGCCTTACCGCTGTATGACACTGATTTTCTTTGCTTGTTTATGGTCTGCTGCCTGTGCTGAGTGCAGGTTGTTCAAGGGCAGCAGCTTTGTTTCCTTCACTGCTGAACCCACAGACCCAGAGACAGTGCCTGAGCCTTAGCATGGAATAAACACCTATGAATTCATGACAGAATGGATCACCTGGTACTGCCTCCTGGGTGACTGAACAAGATGGTATTTGCTTTCCAGGTATTGCAAAGACAGGATGAATGGCTGGTTCTGCTTTAGTTTGATCAGACAGCACCACCACACACACTGTTCCTGACAGGCAGATGCAGCCATATGGGACAGTGCACAGTACAGTAGGGTGTTCAGACAGTTAGCTATTAATGCTGACTTCTGTCAGGGGCACTCAGAATGGTAATATGCTATAGAGGCGGAGAAAGGTGGGGCTTGAAAAACACAAGGAGGTTGGTAGGAAGCAGTTTTCAATTTCTAATTAGTAAATGTTGGGACTTTCATAACTGGAACTTAATTTTGATGATAGAAATGAAAGTCTTGTGTGAATGTCAGTTAGGTTCTTGTTAAAATATTGGTTGCATCAGATTTTTTCATAGGCCAACAAAGAGTTGGTAATAGCTGTTTCATCCATGTGCCTAAAACTGTCCCTGTCATGACTGCCTCCTTGGACCCTCCATGGAGATCTTTTACTGACTGTCGCGTGCGAACCACATCTGACAGTGGGTCTGCCTCTTCAGCCGGATTTCCTGTCTCCTCCCTGATTTGACTGGTCCTGGTTTTAGCACCTGTGACTGACCATTTGGGCCGTCTAAACTATCTTTTTGGATCACTGCTCACCCTGCCTGGCCCAAGCCTTGCTTCAGATGGAGCTTTCACTCTGACTCATCTCTTTGCACACCACCGCATACGTCTGGTTCTTCATAGTACATGATAGTGTGTGACGGTCAGATGATATTTGTGTCTTAGTTTGACTCTGTCTTATATCTATTAAATCACTTAAGCCTTGAGTGTGCTTAATGAAAAAAGTACAGAAAAGAAAAAATAAGACAAACATTTGGCTTTAGAATCCCGTGGTGACCCCAGTGGAGGGTGCCAAGCACTTAGGAGCACTGGATAGGCCTGGGGCACAGCACTGTGTGGTGTAGCACCTGCCCTGCCAGCTAAAATGAATTTGCGTAGGTGTGGGCTGTGGATTTACTAGGTTGTGTGAAACTAGAAAGAGGATGTTTAAGTTTGTAATCAGTCTCATTTTTGTCACATTTAGTGAAGGCTCTTACAGTTTCTTCTTTCACCCCAGCACTGAACAACACAATTTGAGTCCTCCTGCAAGAGTGAGAAGTCCCTGCAATTTTGGATTTTAGTGTCCCCCCAGCTGCCCTGTGTCCCGTCAGAGTGCCCAAGGTGATGCCTTTAGGGGGTGACAGGCCTGGTGAGGAGGTTGTAGGGTGCAGGGCGGGGTGTTGTGAGGGGAATGCTCAGTAGCATTTGGCCTTGCTGGGGTGTGCCAGCCCAAGCACAGCAGGACTCGCGGACCATGGATGGAAATCAGTCAAAAGCTGTGAGCCAGAATGCACCTCTCTCTGCAAATTGACCTTACTGCCGGAGGAGTTTGTTGTAATAATGGAATGCTGACTCACACCGAAGCTGTGGACTGAAAGGATTTAAATTCAAGGGTTATTGAAATTGCTTGGAATCCTTTGAAGTTACTTTTTTTAAATAATAAAATTAACTTGAAACATAAAGTAAAATTAGAAGAATTATTAAACTTCCAGTAATTGTTTGTTCTCCATAAAAGTTTTGTTTTCCTAAAATACCACTTAGGGTGGGGCACCTTGGATCTGCCCAGGTGGTCTGTGCCACAGTGTAGTGAGAGCCCTCAAGGGCAGGCTGCTAGGTGTCTCCACTGTCCCTGGCCCAGTGATGCTCCCACAGGTTGCACTTGGGAGGTGGTGAGAGGGAGGCAACTGAGCTCAGGCAGAGCTCAGGTCAGAAGGTGAAATCAGGCTTTTCTAAAGATGTTTTTCTAATGGTTTGCTTGACTCCAAAACAGGAAAAGATAGTTCTGCTTCATTTTTCTTGTGTCCTGCTCTACATTTGCAAGGAGTGAAATGTATAATTTTAGAGGCTGGGCTTTTCAGGCTGAATGACCTTGGGCAAATTGCTGGCTACTCTGCTGTCAAGAAGGGAACTAATAACTCCCTCCTGGAACTCCTGGGGACAATAGAGGAAGTGAAATAGTGTTTAAAACATTGCCTGGAATGCAGTAAGTACTCACAAGTTAACTAGGAGTAGGAGCAGGATTTTTGTGGGTTACCTTGGAAACCAAGCCATGATTGCTAATGTAATTTGTTACAAGTTTTAAAGGATTAAATAACAAACCATTTTAATCAAGAGTTTGCAGTACAGCATAAATTCAACCAGGGTGGAGCAATTAATAGGGAGAAATAGAATGAGAATTAATATTTGGAATTAATTAATGTTAAGAATTGATATTTCCCAAGGTCAGTGAAAACACTTCTGTCACTATCACCAATATAGGTGACTTGATGTTCACGGATTGTATCTTTTCTCCTTACAAAACTTGTTGAGGCATTTCCTTACCTTAACATGATAATTAAACATTGAGTATCTTCTGTGCCTTGGAGGAACTGTAGGATATGAAAGAGAAATGACTCTAGTCCTCAGGTGGCTACATATCTAGGAAGGAGACATCAGGTACACGTGTCCAGCAGTGATTAAGCAGTTGCAGATGGGGAGGAGGAGACAAATCTCAGGACAGAGATGAATAGTGGAAGGGCCATGTTAGACTGTGGAGATTTGGAAAAGTGAACTTGAGCAGAGATTAAAAGGTAAGGATGAGATGTGGAGACAGAGGCTGGGACAGCTTGGAGAGCCTCTTGGCAAATAAGGCTCTCCTGTGTGACTGAAGGCAAGTGGGGGAGCTGGTGAAAGATGTGAGAAGCAGATCTGGGTCAGATTGGGTAGGGTGCACTAGAGCTGTGGAGAATCCATCATGGCAGTCACTGGTCCACTTCTGCACGGTTACTGCTGCTGCTTTGTGCTCTCTGCCCCAAACTGTTAGCACCTGGATATCTTTGAGAAGTGTAGTGCCAAGGTGGCCTTCTGAGCCCTCACCCTGCAGCTCTGATGGTGTCACGTACATCCCTGTGGGAGGCAGGTACCACAGAGTATAGGGAAGGCTGCCAGTCAGGTCTGAAAGTGGTGTACAGCTTTGCATTGTCCAGAGCAGGCTCATTAGTCAGATTCTGTGACGGACATGGCTGTTGTGACCTGGACTGACACCTGCATGCTGAGTGCTGACGAATATGTTTCCTTTCTCACAGAATTCTGGCCATGCCAGTAACCATCCAGACACTCAGCAGTCAGCAGTTTTAGAACTTCTCTGCATTTGGATGGAGTCACCATAGATGATGATCAGTTATAAATTTCTGATGTCAAATCAGCCTTCAGCTGGTTCTAACAGCAGGAAGCCCTCTGGAAAGTCATTTTAGCCATGGGTAGTCAAACAGCGCTGCTGTTCAAACTGAGTGCTGGGAAAGGGTTGCACTGTGGCTGCTCTTGCTTTCTTCCTGTGTGGGTCACCTCTGAGGCTGAGAACATCATGCATGGCAGTGTGGAGGCCCAGGTTTAATCTGGGGTCCGATGAGTCATAAATCTTAGGGACCCCCATATTGTTTTGTATAATAGCCTAATAAAAGACAGATTCCCCATGTTCTTTTGGGGGAAGGAGGTATGTGGCTATGATGTATGCATTGCCCAGTGTGGTGGCGTGTGTGTACATGTATGGAGAAGCCGGCAAGAGCATCCTGATTAGGGAAAGCCCCCAATTGCTTTGGCTAGGACTGGGGCAGACTTCTGACCCCAGACACAAGTCACTTGCTACAGGCACAGGGTCTGAGAGTGGCAGAGCTGGGGCTCAGCTTGGAGTTTGAAGCCATAGTGCTCAGTTAATTGTAAGGAAAAGTTCAGTAGCAGATGTTGTGAAGAGTTACATAATGCCCAGTGACTCCAAGCCATCAAATCGAGTCTTCATCTTTGCCTTGTACATCTTATGAGAAAATAAAATTTGGAGTCAATTATTTTAAAACTAAGAAGGGCCAAATAAAACTAAAGAAAGAAAACGTTAGCCTAGGATACCTTGTATGTTTTATAATCAACTAAGCCATAAATTTTGTCAGTGGAATATGATTGTAAGATTGTAATGTCATTAGGATTCAGTTAAAATAATAGATGTGTTAGTAAATCTGCTTTCATTCTGTAATCCCACAACTCTGGGAGGCTGAGGCAGGAGGATCACAAGTTAGAGCTTAGAGTAGGCAACTTCACAATTTGTCAAGATCCTATCTCAAAATGAGAAAGAGGAGGCTGGGGATGGGACTCATTATGAAGACCCTGGATTCAGTCCCTACTAACAAAAACAAAAACTTAAACTGGCAGTCTACCTCATAATCAATTTTTTCCTTAAGGTGAAGAATATTCAGTCTTTTAAAATTATTAAATAGCTGTATAGTAACATCCTGTTTTCTGGACATTTGTCAATGCTGTTTATATCATTTAGAATTATGGTTGCAGTTTTCCAAGTGAAGAGGGAAACTTGGAACTTCTCTAAGTGCAGAGTCAACCAAGCATAGATTCCCTCTGGTTTGAGCAGGTAGTGATGTCTTAATACTTAAAGGTAGCTTTAAGTAATAATGATAGATGGAAATGTGAAACAAGGAACACAAGCCCCAGGTACTGTCTGAACAGGTGGTGTCCAGGGCTCTGCCAGCTGCCAGTGTGCCATTCGGAGGTAACTTGTTCCACCCTAGGAAAGCACTTGGAGCAGTTACTCTGTGTTTGCTTTTAATACCCACCCTTGCTGAGTGGTTAGGTGAGGGTGTGTTACTGGCTTGTCTTTAATCCACTCAATTACATGAATTTGGTTGAATATTTAGACTGTTTTCACTTAACAGCCTGTCAGTTCCTGTCTTTACTCACTTTTTTTTTTTTTTTTTTGTGAAGGATTGGGGAGGGAATGTGATTCACGTGATCCTGTTTTGAAAAGTTCTGTCAGGACTTACTGGCTGCTTGGCTCCCTGGCACTTCCTCTTTCCAACACTGGAGTCTGTGCAGTCCTATGTTATGAGTGTTTATTGCCATAGGCAGAATTCCTGGCATATTTGAGGCCTGTGCTCTTTAGTTTCTGACGGAGCCTGGAGCCGGGCCGGTTCCATTCCCTCCTCGCACAGCAGTGGTTCTCTCCTCTCCTTCATGCCAGCCTTGTGCTGGTGGTAGAGATCACAACCGCAGCGTACTCCTGCTCCTGACCACCTTCGTGGCTTTCTGTCCTCCTGTCCAGGCTTTGAATGGAACCTGACAACTTACCTGCTCTGACTTTAGTCAGCTATTCACCACCCCGTTGAGTAAACAGGCTGATGCTGGATGTTCCGTGACTCTCACCCACAACACTGAGGATGCGGTCATGTTTCCTGGGGTCAGTGGAAAGAATTCATGGGAGGTGGTGCAGAGTGGTAGGGCAGTGGGAGGGAAGGAGGAAAAGACAGAAAAACCAGCTCTGACTCTGCTTACCTGGGGCAGTTTGTGGCAAGTGTGTATAGGGAGATGAGCTTTGTAGGACAGGCAAGCCCAGTCCACAGACCAGGCCTGATGGGAAGCTAAAGAGGCTGGGTTCAGAAGCCAGGGTGCACTGCACAAAGCTTTTGAAAAGGGCCTGTGTTCAGAAACTGGTGCTCCCATTAATACCTGCATAAATTCATGCTGGTTCCTCCTCCTCTGAGCCTCACAGCCTGCCGTGGAGTGTTGTAAAAGCTCAGCCCGTGTCCAGCTCTTGCCTAGAATATGTTGGATTCTGATTGTGATTGTTCGGACAGTGAGGCTGGCAGATGGGTGACAGAGCTGGGCTGACTGTTTCCTACCAAAAGCTCCTTGTTCTCTCTGTTACTACTGTTACTGTAACTGTGTCAGCAAGAAAAGCAGACTATTTCTTAGTTTAGCCATTTTATCATTTTTTGCCCAATTGCCTTTATAATCTTCAACTATTTAGTTTCAGGTAGCTAGGACTGAAGAAATTCACCCTTGTTTAACTGTAGTTTAGTTGAATATTGTTCAGTTTTTTTAAAGATTATACAAATGGAATTGTTTTGGTATTAAATTTATATGAATGGATTTACCTTCTGACTTTTTTTTTTTTACTGCATATGCTCTGTCACCTTATTTGCAGACGAATAAAGTATTGAAACTGCTTTAAAAATAATATTAAGGTGTTACAGCTCATTGGCAGATTGCTTGGCAGGTTTCTTGGCTAAGTTACAAGATCGTGGACTCCATCCCCTCACTGCTAAATATATATGTAAATACATGGGGAAAAATACTTTCTCAGTCATCTCTATTCCCCAGCTTCCGTCATTAGCAGGAAGAGGGAAAGCTTATCTACGAACAAATACAGTTTTTGTTTTTTAAAATCTTTTCATGTGCAATGTGCATAGAGAGAAAGTTCATAGACCAAACAAAGTGTAGGCTCATTGAATGTTCACAGTCCAAGCACACACACACATAAGGCTTCTAGAGCAAGAAATTTTTAATTTGTATTTCCTCTCTTATTCCTATTCAGATAAATGGATTTAAAGTTACATGTAAGGATAGTTTAGAGTAGGTGGAACAGAACTGATGGCTGCAGTGTCAGTGACATTAACCCAAGTAAGACTTTCTCAGCTTGGCTGTTGGAAAGGGATGATGGCACTTGGCGTGTAAAAGATTGCCTAACCTACCTGTCTCCTGGAGTCTCAGTGCCTTCCCCAGCCACAGAGAGCAGCCAAGTTATTATAGACATTTAACTAGATGAATTAGGGCAGTGTTTGTGTAGCTGTAGATTGAACCATTACTGTGTTGTGAAACCAATGTAGTGGGGGTCACAGCAAGTATTACAGAAAAGTGAAGTAATATGAGCATAAGCAGTGTGTAGTAAAGTTTGTGTTACTACTTTGGAAAACTTTCACTTCCTGGGGTTCGTATGTATTGGGTCACTACCGTGTATGTGAAGACAGATATTTGAAAGCCATGGATTAGTGATATTTTAAGATGCTTATCAAAGTTCTTTATATATAAAAAGTACTTATAACTGAATCTTTGTTAGCTGTGTTTTCTTTACAGTCTAAGTGGAACCATTTTAGGATTTAAGACTTTGATTATCACAAGAGCCTCTCCTGGTCCAGCTGAGATCTTCCCAACATGATGTCTAGGTGGGAGAGCTGCACAGCGAAGCTCACTGTCACATGCACAGTTACACAGCCTGGAGGTGGCCACACATCCTGTCTCCTTTCTCTTAAAGTTGCCGTATTTCTTTTCTCTGTTCTAGATACTGTAACTCCAGATCCTTTGCTACAGAACTGTACTGCATGTCACAAGAGACAGACCTCTGGGGAGGTTCTGTGTGTACCAGAAATGGAGAGAAAGGGAGGCTGACTCAGGCTCTACAGGATTAGAATGGGAAGCTGGTGTCCCAGGTCACTAAAGTGCTGCAGAGGGCCAGGGGAGCTTTGTGAGAATATGCCAAGCCAGAAAGAGGTAGAAATAACAATTGCTGTTGGGATTGGCGTCTCAGAGAATTAAATGAGAGAAAGAGAAAAAAAATCTTTTGGTTTTTGTTCGTTTTTGTGACAGTCTCACTGTGTAATCCAGGCCAATCTTTGAAATCACTGTGTCCTCCATGGTGGCCTCAAACATAATGCTTGTCTGCCTCAGCCTTCTGAGTACTGTTACAGGTATGCACCACTGTACTCAGCAAGAGAGTCTTTACTTTTGGTGACAGTACATTGTTATTAGGCATAACAGTTTTAGTAGTAGTAATACAGGACTATTATATTTTATAAATAAAAGTGAGGTTATGACTCCAATTATGAAGACTCCTATTATAGATGAACTAGAAAACTAAAGCATCATTTAAAATCATATTACATGTGTCCTTATGTTTATATATTTTGTACTATAAACTCAGTTGAAAGATTATACAGCAAAATACTTGGAATCTTATTTAGCCTGGTTATCTGTAAGATTATAAGCTATAAAGAGTGAAGAGTCTTATTTTCAGGTTTTGTTTGAACTCTGAATTATCTTGAAAAAAATTTTAAACAATTGTTTCTTTTTCCACAGCCTTTTGTTGTATTTTACTTGGCTTAATCTAGTTAAAAAGGTAGAACTGTGTTATTATTTTTAATGTTTTTAGATTAGTTTTGTTGGAAGGAGTAACAAGGCATAAAAGGAAGTAGTTAGCTGTCATGATACATCTGTACATCTGTGGTTTATTAAAGAAGTGTTTCCTGATTGTTCTTCCAGAAGCAATTCATGAGTTCCTTTCTAATCAGCTGTGAGTAAAGGACAAGTTCTTGTTATGAATGTGTTGACATGTCATTTGTTCATACCCTTCTAATACTTAGAGTAGCTGATACTCTCTGTAGATTTAAAAACGGTGTTGCTGGGAAGTACCTCAGTGGTTGAGTGGTTGGTTGCCTAGCATCCTTGAGGCCTTTGTTTCTGTCCCCAGCACTGCAAAAAAACCTTAACCAAACCAAACCAAAATGGAAAAACAGATACTGTTAAAGGAAAGTTCTGACCTTTGTGAAGAAAGCCATGTGGAAAATCAGAGCTATTGAGAAGTTTCTAAATGCTGAGTGTTTGGGTTGCCAAGGCACGGGCAGGGGGGATTTTGAAACAAGGTGGCCAGCAGGGGGGGGGGGGCGGTGTGTGGCAGGCCTAGAGGCTGAAAAGCTAGGTGGTGAAAACTGTGACTTGCTGGATTCTAGTACTTTGGAACCTGAAAAGAAACCACTCATACAAAAAGACAGGGGGAAAATTTTTTTTGGACTCAATATTTTTATTACTTTTTTCCTTCATGGGGTGGGGGATGAGAATTTTTCTCTTTGTTTTCTTCTTTTTTATATTTTCTTATTTTTCTTTTTCTGTCTCTATTTTGCTCTGATATTTTCCTTTTTTTTTTCTTGTTTCTTCTGTTACTCTGATCTAATAATACTAATTTCTTTTTACTCATTAGGATCCTTTATCTGACTGTTCTCTCCTCATCTTCCATTGATTAATTTTTCAAATTCTACTTTTTCATTCTCTAGTTCCCCAACTAGTAATGATTATACTTACTGATCATTAAGCTTTATGAATCTTTAAATTTATGCTTTTATTGTTGAATCCTATTCCATTGTTAGTAGTGGTATAGTCGCTGCACTTAGTAGATGTTTACTGGATGTCAGTATTTGGTTTTAGTGTTTTTATCCTGTAGTTATCAGTCTCCTTTCCATGCCTAAGGGTGGTGCATTACTGTTTCTTAGGATATGTCAATATGCAGTTTGTCTTTGATACCATTTCTAGTGCCGATTTGTTGCTGTTGGCCAAGGTGGCACTATTATTGCTATTAATTGCTTTTCTCTGTATCCAGTATGGGTCATAGAACAAAAGCAAAAGCCTATCGTTAGCCACACCCAGAGAGTATCCACAGAAAGCAGACAATAACTAATAAGGTCTCAACACTAGGAATGAAGTTTTCCACTGTAATCAAACTTCAGACCTTGTCACAAAAAAGCAAAGCAGAACAGTGACAGCAAAACAAAGGATAAGATATATAAGATGACAAAGCAACAAAGTGTTCTAAAAACTCCCCACTTCTCCCAAAGCGATCCATGGAACATTGAGGGGGAGGATATCAGAAGCTCTTACAGCTGAGTTATTTGAAGGGATAACAGAGGAGATAACAAGCCAGCAAACTTAAAAGACAATATAACTAAACAGGTAATAGACCTAATAAAACAATCAGTGAGTTTGCAAAAGACACTAATAAAAAGTTAACTGAGTTAACCATAATGTTATAAAACATGAATGACCAGTTTAGCAGAAAATTAGAGTCCTTGAAAGGAAACCAAACAGAAATTCAGGAGCATAAAAATTATTTTGAAAGTAATGGTTGCAGAAGCAACCAATGCGTGTCTACTAGAACTAGAAGATAGAACTTTTGTCAAGAGACCAGTTATTCAGAGATACTTTAGAAGCAAGAGCATGTGAGAAATGAATCAAACTGCTATATGACATAAAGAATAATCTAAGATTAATTGGAATAAGTGAAAAATCAGAAGATAGCACAAATTGCATTTTTAAAAAACCCTGTTTACATAATGATAGCACAAAACTTTCCATATATGGGGAAAGAACTAAAAATACAATCAGTGAGAGAACCCCAAATAACCATGAACAGAAAGTACCTTTTCATGACACATCATAGTCAAGATCCTAAAAGTCCCAACACAAGGACTGAATCTTAAAAATAACAAAAGCAACAAATTATTTGTAAAGGTGTATACATTAGAACTACACCACACTTCTCAGTACAAACCTTAAAAGCCAGAAGACCTTTCCCTAAAAGAAAACAACTTCCCAACTCAGACCAATATGTTCTGCAAAACTCTCTTTCAAAATTGATTGAGAAATAAGGTCTATACAAAGAGCACTTTAAGAAATTCATGACCACTAAGCAAGCACTGCAAAAAATTCTCAAGGATATCCTTGAAAGAGCTAAGAATGCAAGACGATCTGCTGCAATGAGAGGACCAGGGAGAGTGACAGTTAAGTAGAAATGTGCACCTGTGCTCATGTGAATCAGCAATAGGAGAATAATGCAATGACAGTGATAACCCTCCAATGAGCTGCTTCAGTTCTCCATCACAACACACAGACACACGTAACACACAGTCGGCAGAGTAGATTAAGAGACAAAACCCTGGAATATACAACAAAGACATTTAACCCAAAAAAGAATTCTTAAACTAAAAATCAAAGTTCAGGATACAATATTCTGTGCAATAGGAATCTGAAAACAAGAGGAGTACTATTCCTGTTTTCAGACAAAGTGGACTTAAAGCCAAAATGAATCAGAAGAGCAGAGGTCAAGATGAAGGGAACAGTTCAATAGGAAGATCAAACTTTAAACATGTATGTACTGAATACTTCAGAAAACAAACAGTGCTGGACAAAGAAGATCAGGTAAACATGAACACGGTTACAGTGGGGATCCTCAGTAACCCATTGTCACAAACATCAACTAGACAAAAAAAAAAGATCAGTGAAGAAATGTGAGAGTTGAACCAAAACTTTGAATACATGGACTTCATAAATACCAACAAAGTGATCCACCCAACAAAAGAATACACATTCTTCTTAGCAGCACATGAAACTTTCTCCAGAATAGACCACATGAAAGCCAATAAAGCATGGTTAAGCAAATGCAGAAGAATTAGAATTATCTCATACATCATATCAGATCCCAGCAAATTGAAACTAGGAATCAGTGGCAAAAGAAATCATGGAAATTAAGCAATGTACTCAGTGGGACAGAATCATTTTGAGAATCCAATAATATCAGTACAACATACCAGAGCTTGTAGGACACAGTGAAAGCAATCCTAAGAGGATTGTTTATAGCTGTGAATGCCCACATCAGAAAAACAGGACAAGCCCAAATAAATGACCTAACAGTCACCTCAGGGTCCTAGAAAAACTAGAACAATCCATACCTAAAGTAACTATAAGGAAGAAAATGATAAAAATCAAAGCAGAAATCAATGACAGAGAATTTTAAAAATAGAATACAAAGAATCAGTGAATCAAAGAGCTGCTTTTTCAGACGAATAAACAAAACAGAAAAACCTTTAGCTAGTCTTATCCAAAACAGAAAAGAACCAAATCAGTGTGCAATTAGAAATGAAAAAGGTGAAATCAGACACCACCGAAATTCAGAAGATAAGCAACTACTTCACAAAGTTGTATACCAATAAATTGGAGAATTCAGAAGAAATGGTTAGATTCTTAGATACATGAGAATTAACAAAACTGAACCCAGAAGATATAAATACTCCGAGTAATCCAATAACAAGCAGTGAAACTAAAACAGTAATAAAAAGTTTAGCAACTGACAAAAGCCCAGGTCCCAGTGGATTCACTAGTGAGTTCTATCAGAACTTGAGGAAAGATACAACAGTAATACTCTTCAACTCTTGAATGAAAGTGAAAGGGAAGGAGTACTCCCAAAGTCATTCCTGAAAATTAACGAATTACAGTACTATTTCCAAAGCCTTTAAAACAAGATCCTATCAAGAAAAGACAACTACATGACATTCTCTTTAACACAGTTCTGCTAGTATGAACCACCAGTGGTACATCAGGTGGCATGGACAGTTGTGTGTGTGTCACTGGTGGTTCAAACTTACGGGAACTTAACACATTTAAATCAGAACCACCTAACAGACATGAATTGTGGCCCCGTTGTGAATGTGTTAATGAACACAGATGCAAAAAAACCTCAACAAGATGTTGGTAAACAGAATGCAACCAATTATCAAAAATATACATCATTAACAAGTAGGCTTCATCCCACATATATGAGAGTGATTCAGCAGACAGATTCAACATTGCATTATATAAATAAAGACAGAAATCACACAATCACCTCAATAGATGCAAAAATACCCTTTGACAAAATCCAGTATCCATTCATGATTTTTAAAAAACCTGAAGAAATAATTATGGAAAGACATTATTTTAGTCTGATAAAAGGTGGCATTTATGGCAAACATACTGCCAACATCATATTAAAATCTGAAAGGTTTCCCTCCAAAATCAGGAACAAGACAAGGCTGTCCACTGTCAACACTCCTGTATGGTACCCAAAACATTAGCCAGGGCCATCAGGCAAGATAAAGAAATGAAAGGGTTATATATGTACTATAGGAAAGGGAGAAGTCTATAATTATTATTATTTGCAGATGCCATGATCTTTTACGTGGAATACTCCAAAAATTCCAGCAAAGTAGCAGGGTATAAAATCAACTCACAAAAATCTGTAGCCTTCCTGTACACCAATAATGAGCTCATTGAGAAAGAAATTAGGAAAACAGTAGCATCTCCAATAGTATCAAGAAAAATTAAATACTATACTTAGGAATTAACCTAACCAAAGAAGTGGAAAACTGCTGCAATGAAAGCTTAAGTACTCTGAAAAAGCAAATTGAAGAGGACATCAGAAAATGGAAAGATACAGTAGTTCTCTGTTCTGGATAAGAAGAACCAATGTAGCCAAAAATGGCCATAATCCCAAAGCTGATATACACATTTGACACAATCTCAGTCAAAATACCAACAGCATTCTTTACAGTACTAGAGAAAGCAATCCTAAAATTTATAATGTATCAGAAGAGACCCAGAATAGCAAAACTAATCCTGATCAACAAGAACACAGCAGGAGACATCACAGTACTGGCTTTCAGGTTATATTACTGTGATCAAAACAGTGTATACTGACACAAAAACAGACATGTGGCTCAAGGGAAAAGAATAG